TGGCTTCTAGAGAAATACAGTAACACAGACAAGATTTTTCAGGAATATACATACTGAATGGTGGAATAATACACTGCAACCCTAGTTAGGAGTGTAATGTCTGAACAGTTTCAATACATAGCGGACAAAGAATTATAATAGAAAGAGTCTGCTATGAGGGGGACCAGAATTTAAAGTAATCCCTTCCCTAGCTTAATAGCAAAAAGCACAGTTAAACTATTAAGTTCAACAGTACCACTGACATCACCCACTTTATTACAAGCTGCTTTTAAGTTGGTAGTATTCCCCCTTGTATGTTTAATGGATCAAATAGGGAACAGCCGTTCAGCCTACGCTACAGTTCAAAGCAACTCGGCATTAGATTCTACCTCAATAGGAAACATGGGAGAAAAGGAGCATTGGGGAACCTAGATAAGCACAAAAAGTCTAATTTTATTTCCTTATAGAATTGCAAAAAGACAGAACACAGAAGGCCCGTCTCTTGGGCGATTACATGACAATTTCTGAAGTCACTACAAAGTGCTGCAACTTGATAAATGCCTCAGATATCAAGCACTCTTGAGAAGATAGTTTTGAGTTATTCTAAAAGAGAATTAAGTTATAATTTCATGCTGCAACTGGGGAAAGACAGAGGGAACCTTAAAGCTGGCAGCATTCTAGAGAGCCGGCAGACATCTGCCATTGAAATAATTATTTAAGTGTAATGCTGTGGGATACAGATAATGCCTTTAAGCAATGACTATGGAACCGCATATTGCACAATTAAACATCCATAATGGGAGAAAGTCTAGCTTTCTGTCAACTATTAACCAACTCAGGAATGGTACTAGTATTAGAATGACACAGTACTAAAACAAATCAAAATTTTTTTAATATAATTAAAAAACCCAAAAAAATTAAATCAATGGAGAAGTGAGAATTAATCTGATTTTCAGAGGAAGAATATACTCATTAGAAGCTCAGCCAGTCTCACAACAGCAGCACCCAACGCATTTAAGAGGCTAACACATGGACAACTTTATTTTAAAAAGATGCTCATTCCACGCTACTATGAAATGGAGAGTATTTCTGACTGTGAGGATGCAATTACAGAAGTCTGGAGAAGAACGCTGATGAAATGCTGGAGTACACCCATCACACTTCTCCATCACAGTAAAGTAGAAGGTTCTTCAAGTGCTTACCCCAAGCAAGGTGAAATTCCTTTCAGAAATATTTTCTTGGTTGAACTCTCTCACTCAGACATACAAGGCCTCTAACCACAAAAAGACCACAAAAATACCTCAAAGTAAAAAGATGTTTTCAGCAGTACCACAATATTTCAGCTGAAACATATATCAGATCTTAAATGTAGATCAGTCAAATGTGGGAAATTTCAATGCAGGGCGTTAAGACATCAAATTTGCATTGCACTACTTATTTTAAGGGACAATCACCTTATTATAAGCAAATTTCAACTGAGAGGAATTCCTTTGTTCTTGAGTTCCACATAGTCCAGTTTTTAGGGAAATTATTTCTATCTAAGTGCAAAAAATATTCACGGTCTTTCCTTTGCTCTTCTGGCTTCTAATGAAGAGGTTTCCAGGGAAACTTTAAACCGCACACACTAAAAAAAAAAATATTTTTCAATACAGAAAAATACAGTTCCTACTAAAGCACGCTGAGGAAAGTGATACCATGCCAAAAATAAGCTCCTGTTTATTGGCTCCATCAGTTCCTCCTTGGATATGCATGCGTTTGTCAACCTTTGAGTAATCATTTGCACTCTCCTTTTGGCTTCTTGCAAAGTATAGTTGGTTAACTAATCCACATAGCACTGAAAACTATTGTATTTTTCCAAGAACCTATGTTAACTACAGGAATACTTTGCGTGTTTAGTTCTGAGCTCTTCAAAATGAGATGACAATGACATTCCCCATTTATGAAAAGAAAGGGTTTTCTGGCTCTTCAGATCAGTAACAAAGGATGAAAACAAAGTTCAGCATATGCTACACTCCACAGCTGTAGTATTTGCTCAGAGTAGCTGATGAATACAGCTGTGCTACACCACAAATGGTGAAAACACCACAACTGAACAAGACTAAAGCACTCTCAACCCAAGTGAGAGCTATATAGATGCATGCGCATGACATTCTCGGTATTATATCCAAGATATCCCTGCTACCTATTGCCCTAAGAAGACAACCAAACAAAGAGATGTGACTGACTCAGGAGAGGTAGCATGCTCTTTAATCTCTCTGCTCATTCTCTGATCTTTATTGAATCCAGAAAATTTCTTGGAAATCAGTAAGCAATACATCAAGATTTATTTGCACATGTTCCCAAGAAATGGGAAAGAAAACCCAAAGACACCAGAGCATTTTTCACAGGAGGCTGAGGTAGCAATCAACCAGAGCTCACATTTTCATGTATTTTTAACAACTTCCAAAACCAAGAGGCAATTCAATCATTCAAAGTTGAGGTGACAAGAACAGCAGTAAAAAATACAATCAGGGACAATCAAGTGTGCATAGAGGAATAAAGAGCCAAGATCACAGCAAAGAGATTGAGATGACTATCAGATAATGGCATGAGTCGGCCAGCATCTTGGCTCCGTGAGTTGAGTCAATTTTTAACAATGCATTTGGCCTTAGCTAAACTTAATATAAAGCGCAAGTTCTGCCCATGCGAGAAGTCTTTATTAAAAGTGATGTGCTGAAATACTCGTATTGAGGTCTAAAACACCGGTTCCTGCAATTATACTGGAAGTCATTTTATGGAGAGGCTGAAGGGGTAATGAAGAGATTTTTCTGGTCCCTCAACAGATCAGAGAAATCCCTTGTTCAGTGTCTAAACAGAGAAGTCTGTTTAATTACAGTAAATCCTATTAAACTGATCTTCCTTATAAAGGGCTGAAGTGACCAACTCCAAAAGGCTATAAAAGACATAATGAATTCAGAGTTTAATTAGGACACACTGTTAGCTAACTATAATCTATTAATTAGCATTCTTAGTTTTTACAGCTCATTGCAATAATACCCTTTTACTTTTAAATTGCACCCTTCTTTTTTTGGACCAAAGTTATACAATTCTACCAGTGTGGTAATAATTATAGTGATTGCCTAGAGAACAGTGGCTTGGAAATATCTGTAAATGTTTAATTAGGGGATAAAGGAAAGACAAGGAAAAAAACCCCTCAGAGAGAGGAATCACTGTTCTCCAGTCTACGCATATTTAGTAACTGCTTAAACCATTCTAAAACATACATTCATTGCAGTTTTCTTGCAAGATTTCCACAGCATTCTCAAATGACAAAAGTGATTTCAGAAGAAATGTTATTACATTCCAAGACATTCTCTTCAGTATGAAAACAGAACTTAAAAATGAAAAGAATTTGAGAATTAAAATACCTACCTGTAGCTGAAATACAAAGAGCATCATAAAGTCGAGTGAATGGTAATCCATGTACTCATTATACTGGTACTGTACCACTATAACTAAAATTTTCACTGGATGACTCCTTCTAAGGAAATCCTACTTTTGTAATAAAAATTATTTAACTTTAGGTTTTCTTCACTGCAAGAAGACACATGAAAATGAAACGTCACACACATTAACAAATCCCATGTTGTGATACTTACCATTCGGTAAGAATACAGCTATAAAACTACATGACAAGTTCATTAAATTATTTCATACTAACTCAGGAAAAGCAACTTACTTTCTTCAACTCAGTTCTTCAAAAAGTGAAAAGAAAATATCAGACAGCTTCAGTGTAGTTTACTGTCACTAACCAAAAGGAATCTACTATTTAAGACAGGTCACCTGAAAGTAGAGTATAGCATGTCAAGTACTACCAGCACTATTTTTTTCCTCCAGCAGTTTAGTTTCCCTCTCCCCTCCACCTTCTAAAGCAAATCTTAAAAAAAGCACTGCCTAAAATAGCAAGTATACCTTAAAAGCTTCAAGAACATGATCACGCTTGAATTATGGAAACTATTTCATTAAACTTTCTTGGATATTTAAAAAACTCAATAGGAAAAGTAATTTTGTCACGGTGAAAGCTGACTTAGATTTCAGGAAACTTTTGGAGTTGGACGCTGGGCCTGTTTTCCATAAGAGTAGTGAGGTTTCTTACTGGAGAGTCCAGAGAGATGCCTAACTCGCATTTGGCCAGAAACAACTAAACAGGAGGACACTTAACTCAAAGACAAGTAGTTACTTCAGGATTAAGCTAGCAAGAAGGTCTAGGTGGGAAAATGTAAAAAAAAGAGCTTTTAATAAGTAGAGCTGACTACAAAGAGACCTCAATTTTAATCAACCTCTCAGTTTTATTCTAATTTAGGGATACTTTTAAGAGGGACAAAAGAACTAGACGCCCAAGATTCTCTGTTCTTCTGCCTATTGTCTAACCAGCCAGACCACTACAAAAAAACTGTAGGGTGCTTTATGATAGCTGCATAACAAGATATGCACAGCTTGTGACAAAAGAATAGATCAGCAGGTATTAAACAGTGTTACTTAAATGTAGCCAACAACACAATTTATATCTGTTTGTGAAAACTGCAGATCTGGAGGTTTTAACTGGAGCTCTAAAATAAGACCCGTGTAACATGAACTTTGTTTTACTGGCAATCTGTCAACATTCAGCAGCAGTTCAGTTGTATTTGGAGTGAGCAGTTAGTACATTCTGCATCTCAGAGAATGCTTCAAGAGGTGAGCACTATAGAAATATTAATTATGATCTGGGTAAAATATTTCCAAAAGGACACTGAGTGGTTAGCAACAGTCCCAGGAAAAAAAACAAATGGCACACAAGAAGAAATGAACACTCAAGAGGTGGCTTACAGGTCTGACAAGAAACATTTAAAGAGAGGCTTGCAAGTTGAAAACACATCTTATTCATATCAATTACCTGGGAAAAGCACCAATATAATTTAGCTGCTTAAATGTGACATGCAAGTTTAATAAACTCATTTAATCGTGCTACTGCACTAACACAACAGTGACATTAGATGACAAACCTGGTTTTCTTCTTGCAAAACTCTATATTGTTCCTTCCAAATGGTGATTTTCGAAGCTTCATCTTTCCTCAGAGCTCTCTCCTTTTTTAGCTCAGGACTCCAGAAGGTCTTGATACTGTTCATGGAAGAACTCAGCTTGCTTTCTTTCACCTCCACGTCCTTGCGAAGCAGATCATTTTCCCTTAATACTTCTTTGAGTTGTGTCTGCAGATCCATTATTGTGTTATCCCTGGCCTGGCGCAGTGAGTGAGGCACAGTGGATGCCATACTCACTGGAGGGAGATGGTGCTCTCCAAATGCAATAGTATCACTGGCAACTCCACTACTGGCAATGTTAGGGCTGCTACCCATTGCAGTCATCCTAACACCGTAAGGCAGCCGCCCCCCAGATCGGCCCAAAGTCATGGTGCTTTTTGGGGTGTCTGCACCCACGTTCTCATGGTCACTTAGATACATAGGGCCAGACGTAGCATAGGCGGCATTTAAGGACTGAATATTTTCCATAGAAAGGGTTTTTCCACTGCCACCCCCAGTACTACTCCCAGAACTGCCTCCTGTGCTGTTGGTTCGACGATGGCCCAAGCGTGGTGACCGTGGCAGCCTTGGTGAACGCCCTGGACTCTGGTTGCTTGGCTCCACCTTACCAACTGACCGAGCACTTCCATACATGATTAAGCTGGTGGTGTGAGGCAATTAGATAGGCATAAATCAGGAATGAGAGAAATCCTGTTAAGTTCTTCAATGGTTTTAAGTCAGCTTAAGGCCAATCACAACTTATAACGGACCCAGTTGTCCATCTTTGAAGTCACGTGCTCACAATGTTCAGGACCATATCTGTATCAATAAAAATAACATATTAAAAACTGTATCAATAAAAATAGCATATTAAATACCTAGTTTATCACAAAATATTTTGTCCCACATTAAAGTGTATCCTACTACCTTTACACATCTCCAGCATCTTTTCAATTCCCACTCACAAAAAAGCAATTTTTTATTTAAACCCTAATATTTAAACTCAAAAAGGAACTTCTATTCTTGCTTCTCTGTTGTTATATTATCACAGTAAAGAGAGAGAGGAAAAAAAGAACCCATCAATTTTCAAGCCATAATTTTGTTCATCATGACCTGAACTCTACAAAAGTAGTCTAACTTTTTTTTCCTATTTCTAACTGGCCCTAATTCTTTCCCTGTTACATTTCTGAGTAAGACAGACAATCAAAATTTAAAGCCCATTCAGTAGGTTTGTTTTTTTCCTTCAAGCACTGCTAGCTTCCATAGGACACAGTTTCTAAACCCTGTTGCTGTGAAAATAATCCTGCAAATGGGAAGTTAGGATGGACTGAAATGATTCTGATCGTGGTCTCGACTAGCAGGTCCCTTTAGTGTTGCTGTCAGCCCTCCTTCAAACTCAGAAGTCAGAACCGAAACTAAAAAGAATAATGAAATCATTACTGACCACAAAGCTTAAGCAAGTATAGATACAACTCCGAAAGAACATCAGTCACACAGCAATGGGACCAGTGAGGTTAAGAGGAACAAGAGAATCACACCTGTACTGAAAACTGGTTCCAGTCTCTTATTTTCTCTCGAACTGGGATTCAGTCCTAAACACGACTTAAATCTTTGTTCAGGTTAAGCAAAGATTTCAATCAAATATACTTCTCATTAACCAGCTCAGATTAATTCCATTACATAATATCATTCCAACAGCAGGAACCTCTTAAAACACAGAATATTATGACATCATCATGTTGCAGTTCCTCCTCCCCTCTCCTTTTTCTTTAAACATGAACTCCGGCAGCATACGCAATAAAATTCCTTATTTTTGCACCATAACATTATGCTGTTTTGCAAGTGCTAGCAGGCATCTCTAATACAGAGGCACTGGGCTGAGACCACTGTTAGTAGTCAAGATCTAGTAGAGGAGCAAGAAACAGGGATGAAATCCACTCTCGTGACTGAACTGCTACACTGCAGAACTACTCCCACTACACAGGTCTCACTTTTTTTTCTATTTTTTCCAGTGTAAACTATTTGAAGTCACTGTTGGGCTCAGCTGAAATCAAAACTGGAACGCTGAAACATTCCTGGCCTGACCTCTCCCTATTAGACGAAAGAATACCAGATAGCGTCCAAAGAGCAGCAGCATCTTATGTATCCCAACATCTTTCCTTTCACAACAGCTTTCATCTAGCCTCACCTTCTGCTCGGAAGTTAGGTTTGCCAGATATTAAGAATCAATTTTTCCAAACCCTATGGCTGAAGGCACATTTGTGAGATAATAATTGGGCAAGCAGATGAATGATTAGGCTTAAAAGAGGAATACACTTACAGAAGATATTGTAGAAATAGTAAAAGTGGGTGGAGGGGAAGAGACCAAAAAACAATATTGCAAAAAATACTGGAAAAGGGTAGAAAGAAAAAAAGTAAAAGCCTGATGAAGAAAAGAGACAACTTTTTCCTTTCAGAAACAAGTTAGTATAGGAAAAGATACAACAAGAAATAGTTTTAAAATGTTTAGTTTAACCCTAAGTTTTAAATGGAAAACAAGATCAGAGTAAGCCAGCATTTTTTCATTTTCACACTATTTCATAGAAGATACAACAGCAAGAGTAATTTTACAAAGCTTATGGAAGCTGATACTGTTTTGTGGGCAGTCCTCAAGAAGTTCAAGTGCTCACTCTCTCTTTCTCTTGCTTTCTCTTTGTTTTTAAATGACAATTGAAGCTAGCAACAATATTGCTACGAAATATTTTAAACATATACGTAAAGGAAAATAGGCCAAGAAAAGATAGCCAGCAGCATTAATAATTGAAGTTAGCTACCAAAACACCACCTACAGATTTATTTTTTTTAATGCAAGTTACACATGAGAGACTTCTATTTCAGCTACATATCCTTATGCAAAACAGTACAGAAATATAAACTATGTAACAAAGTCTACAGTGTTCCACTGGAGTTGCTTCAATAAATAAGACACTGTGCCCCAGATCTGGAAGAAAAACACTTCTTCCAAATAGAAAAGCTATTTCAGACTAATCTCACTGTTTGAGATATCAAAATGCTAAAAATGCTGCTGACACCAGTTAGGCACTCAAAACAAGTCAGATACGATTTCTTAGACAGTACATAAAGTACATTCAACTGACAGCTTGTATTCACAAGAATTCTCTTGAAAATTAATCCAAATCACAGCACTTAATTCATTTCTAGAAACTCACACCACAGTAAATCAGTGCAAACACTCATTCACTTAACAGCTTTAAATAAGTTTAACTTGAACCAAAAGATTAGACATGTTTTAGTCTGTGTTTCAATTAAAGCACTATCCCCAAGAAACATTAAAGTTTAAATGCTGCTAGAAGTATATTACTGTTGCATGCAGAAGTATCACCTAGTAAAGTGCTTAACAACACACAAGAAGCGCACAAAAGTTTTTGGATCATTTCTAATGAGTTAATCACCCTCAAAATGGAAAACTCACAGAATTGCTTTCTCCTTGCTTTAGCAAAGGTTTTGTTAAACTATTAATAGCTTTGCAAAGAATGAAAGTGACTGATGTCCTTGACAGAAAAGTAGCTTCCCAGGCAGCCGAAAGGAGCTGGTACCACAGCAGGTGCTGCGCAGTAGCCATCTTCTAATATACCGGGCAGGCAGCTTAGCTCTCGTCCACCTTAAGTAGAAACACCAGTCTTATGCTAATTCAGTTCTAAGCTTTGTTTCTCAGGTAGGCACCATCCCCTCTGTTACTCCAGAAAAATCAAATAATTCAAGCTATGAAAGCCAACTGCTAGAATTAGCTGTTGATTAGCGTTACTGAAAGGATTCCCAGAGCAGGCACACGTGAAACTCAGGGAGAAGAACTCCGACATCAGTGCCATCACCGGCACGTGTTACACTGCACTCACTTTTCAAAAGCAAAATCAAACAAAAGCAGTAGATTAAGAAAAGAAAAAGTCTTTGGCAACAAGCAAATGTAACCCTCTGCTATTTCCCTTGAAATGAGAACTTTTATTACACCATTGTCAGACTTTAAAATCTTGAATATTCCCAATGTTAACTAAATACACCCTTCCAGCCATGCAGCCAGTTTCAATAGTTTCACTGACACAGAGATTTGTCATGATTCAAGAGAAAAACAAACATGTTACAAGATAAATCTTAACTCTTTTTTTTCCTGATTTTTTTTTCTAGTAGCATTTATCACCGGCCATTTCACTTTGTTGCTATTAGGAATCCATAAGCAGAAGTAGATATTAAGACAATTCACACAATGAAAAACAGCTTTCATCCTGGAAACAGTGAAGTGAAGGAAGTGACAGAAACATCTTTTTTCATTCGCAATACCAATTAATCAGGAAGAAGAAAGAGTTCTAGTTCCTTTCCAGGAGTCCAAGCAAAGTTACATGGGAGATTTCTTTCAGATAGCAACATAACCAGAAAAGTTAAAGTTTTTCAATATTCTGACCCACACTAGCATTTTATTAGGAATCTCAGAAGTACGATCTCTTACCTTCCACGAGGCCAACGCACAGCACTGTTACTTTTTTCCTGTTCTACTGTGACCTTAAAGTTAGTCACAAATAAATCATCCCTTAACCTTACAGGATGGTGGTAACCACAAGGAACACTGTCCAACTGCGACATGAACGTATTGACCATTTTTCCTTTGCAAACTCTCCTGTAGGTTTCAAAAACCTTTGGTCCTTTCTGCCAATTCAGGAACCTTTACCTAAGATTACAAAGAAAGAGACTATAAACTGCCAAGTGTTTAAAAAAACAAAACCGCTGAAGCCAGTGCTAAACCATTTTTTCCTCAAGGTAGCTTGCATACCTTTACATTTGTGAAACAAAACTCTCTTGTTCACTGTTCACTAAGAGAACAAAAACTTCCAAAGAGCATCCTATCTGCAAGCCAAATAAAAAAATTCCAAAAAATTAATGTCAGCCAAATTAAAAACTTCATGTAGATATCTAGAGATTGGCATAGCAGCTTTGCAAGGACAGAGACATACGATCGACGCGCTTTAGTATTAGTTGAAAACATTATCTAGCGATTATGAAAAAGCTTGAAAGAAGGACTATCAGAAGCATAAAAAGAATATATGAGAATTACACAATATTGTAGAAAAAAGTTTGAAGAAAGGACAGTTACGAACACATTTTCTGTATGAAAATGGTAAGATAGATAACAGTACCTCCTGCCTGAAGTGCCAACTAAGAAAAATGTCTTCTAAGATCACAGGTAACTGTCCAAAAACACTCGGAGACAGACACCATGAACTGTGAAAAAAGTTTATAATCTGACAGTAAACATTTAAAGGTGCTACAGTGCAACTTGTGGCAACTAAAATGAATGTTTCATTACTATAGCCTAGTCATAGCCAGTGTAAAGCAATGGAGAATCAAGCCTCCTTCAAAACAGCAAAGCAGCCACCACACCAAGAAGTATAGCGATATCCAGAACCAAACCTCAATGAAAATGGTAATTCAAAGCAGCATGAAAGCTCGTAACTCCTGCATCAGAACCTAGGACGCTGAAAGAACAGTAAAATGCAACCTGCAGAACTTCATGCAGATTTATTTGTAAGGCAATTATGAAGTGAGAGAGGGCAGGAATAGGTACACTAGTCTTGTCAAAAGATCTGGTGGTTTTCAATAAGAGTTGTATTCCAGCATAGTAGAATTGTAAGAAATTCTGGAGGGATCACATTAACATCAACTTCAGGATAAAGAATCCAATAAAATGAGATGCATTTACCCATGCTGTCACATTCAGCCCCTGTATCTAGTATTTTATGTGAACCAACGGCTC